TATGGTTGTTGCCTCAAAAGCTTTGGATTAAGCAAACAGGTGAAAGTCTAAGGATATGAAAAATGATGGGTGTTTTGTGGTGCCTTAGAACATACCTCCTTCGTGCTGGAATATTTGTCCAGTTTTGATTTTTTCAGTTGATCAATATTGATCTTAGACCTATAATTAAATAAAAATTACATAGTACATTACTTAGATAAAATAATATTTTGAAAATATAAGTTTGGCCTTTAATAAAATATTTTTCAACACATGTATTTTATTTTTTAATTGCTCACCAAACAATTGTGACTATGATTTGATTTTATTTTTGTTTTCTCCAAATATTTTTGTTTCAGATTCTGTATTAATTCTTCTAGATTTTATAGTTCATATCTTATTATATTTTCAAAACTCACTAAACATGCCCTAAGAGTAATTGTTTTCTACTTACTTCCTCCAGACTATTTGAAAGTGCTTGTTTTAGTTTATGATATTTGATTGAATGATTTTGAAAGTCACGCTGCCAGATCAGCACGGAGAAGGAGGTTTCCATGCGTGGAAAGAGCATTCCTCCTCTATTTGCAAGTCATGACCGTGTCAATGTGTTCCTATTTACTCTGTATTTTTTTAATTTTTTTTTGTAAAAAAAGATTTTTTTTAAAGGAATACATCTTTTTTATGAAAATAGGATAAGTAAAAAAATTTTTAATAATTAAAAATGTTTAAAAAGTTTAAAAACTGACAAGAATAATAATTTTTAAATAAAATGATATTTAATTTGCATCGTAATTCTAAAATAATAATCTAAATTGAGATTAAGGAATAAATAAAAATATGGAGTAGATAACAAAAAAATTAAAAATATATATATAAAATTATTTATTTGAGTAAATAGAAATATTTTCATGATAAAAATAAATAAATAAAATAATTTTTAATAATCCAAATATGGCAAAAATATGAAAAAAAGGGATGAAAACAATGACTTGCCATTGCAAGCCATGTCACTCCACTCGTGTGTCACTCGTTGACTAGACTATTTTTTATTGGTTGAAATGCTCCACGTCACCGTGTGTCATTCCTTTTTTGTCTCACCATTGTTCATGCTCTTAAAAACTACATCAAAGATTCTACAAAACCAGTAGTGATATGATTATTTTTATCAAATAATTAATGAAACTTGGTTTAAAAAGTAAATAGAGTTTGATTATGTGAATAATAGATTATTAATTAATTTTGGACGGATGGTGTATAACTTAGCATTTTTATTTTTTCACGAAATTGCCACATTGTCTATCTATACTCGTATATTGGTTGTAGGACAGACGAAACACTGTTGTTTTTAAAGTTTTTTTTAATAGCCTTATAATACTCAAAATAGCAGTGCTATTAGTTTTTGGGATATATTTCCGTTTTTGTCCTTAAATAAACTCCCAAAATTGGAATTATACTGCAATGTATACTCTTCACTGCCACATTATAAATAAGTATGAAATGCTCTACTCTTCACTGCCACAATATGTTCGAGATTGAATTTAGTGCCCTAACACATACAACACTGCCAAAAAAAGAGCAGAATTCATTTTAAGCCGTGACCTTTTATTTTTTATGGTAATTATACACTGCAATATATACTCTCTACACTGCCACAATATGTACTTCCAAAAATTCAATGTCTGAAATACACTGCCACAATATATACACTGCCAAAAATTCAATGTCTGAAATACACTGCCACAATATATACACTGCCACAAAACACAATAATTAAAACTAAAAATACAGCGAAATCTGAATAAAAGGATGCATGACAAAATTTTAACATTTAATCTTCACACTGCCCAAATGTTCACACTGCCAAAATCACAATGGCTTTCAAAAGACCTAATTTTTCAAAAGGGACAAATACTTGGTATTACAAAATTGATTTCACAACACCTAATCTTCAATACGAAGAAAACACAATACAACAACAACAACAACCCAGTTGGATCCCACTACAGTAGGGTCTGGGGAGGGTGTGTGTACGCAGACCTTGCCCCTACTCGGAAGCAGAGAGGCTGTTTCCAAGAGACCCCTGGCTCAACTTGCACAAAAAATATGATAAGGTACACAGTATAGCATGAGTAAAACACCAAGTACAATGAAAAGAAAGTTCTACAAGCATTAATAGAAGAAAACACAATAATGAATACTAAAAATACAGGGAAATCCGAATAAAAAGATGAAGGAATGAAAATTAAAAATTGAAGAAGAGAAAATGATTAGCGACATCGAAGATTAGCATGGGCCAAGCAATCGTGGGCAAAGGACTGAGGACGCATCATCGCCGGCGAACGGAAGGAGAGACCGTGAAGTTCAATAGCATGCGGAAGAACAAAAAGAGAGATTGAAGATTTTTCTACGAAAGGGAGAGAGGGGGCAAGGGGTTGGGAGTGCACGGAGGTTTTGGTATTTTTTTTACCATCTAAACTATGAATAAGTTTTCAAAATGGTCTTTTTAAAGTAAGTGGATGGCTGTTTGAAGAACAGATCACCCTAAGTAGGCTCATGGACTCCATTTCGAGAAAGTATTTACTTAAAAATTATCAATTTAGAAAATACTTATTTATAAAGGAGAATTTTAAGATTATACTTTAAGTCTAAATGATTGAAAATGCCAAAATACATTTTATTTGGCTAGCATTTAATAGACATTTTTGACCAACGGCTATATAAAGAATATTCTGTACATTTCAATTACAAAGAATCATATTAGTAATTATTACTTATTAATTACTAATTTAGGAAAATACTTTATTACAAAGGGTTTTGAAAATTCACTCAATAACACTCATTGATTTGGAGAAATAATTATCTCTTGATTTTTATGAGCTAAACCTAATTCCTTTCCCGCTACAACACAGCAGCGCAGTCTAAGCAAAAAGACCTTGGCCCCGTAAGCCGTCTCGGCTAGTCAGTAGTCACCGACCGCCCCAGCATTGATCCAGGTCTTCGTCAACAAGACTCCAATCGCGACTTCCAAGTGCCAGGTTCGTTTTTTCTCAAAACCTAATGATTTTATACAATTATTTATCAAGATTATTAATTTATGCCAGATGATATGTGATTTTGTTATTTGTGGTTTGTGAATTAGTGAAATATGAATTTATCAAATGATATTGGGTTGATTTTCATTCGGAGTATGTTTATATTAAGATGCAGCGGGGTAGTTTTCTTAAGTACTATTGAGTCTAAAAGAATGTAGTATCTGTTCATACATACTTTTTCAATTAGTTGAAGCACATAGAGTCAATGGGTTCGATTAAGATTTACTACCTAGTTTTTTATTAAATTAATGTAACTTTTTGCTTTTTTAGAATTATTTGAATGAAAATATAGTATGCAAAAGTATGTTAAAATGAAAATCCATCAAAATTGATCAATTGTTGAAAGCTATATTGAGACTGGTAATGTATCGTATGAATTAGTAACCCGTTGACTCTATGCGCATCAACTCATTGAAAAAGTAGGTATGAACATATACTACATTGTTTTAAACTCAGTAGTACTTAAGAAAACTACCCTTGGTACATCTTAATATAACATACTCCGAATGAAAATCAACCTAATATCATTTGATAAATTCATACTTCACTGATTCACAAACCATAAATAACAAATTCTCGTATCATCTGGCATAAATTAATAATCTTGATAAATAATTGTATAAATAATTAGGTTTTGGAAAAAAACGAACCTAGCACTTGGCAGTCGCGATTGGAGTCTTGGTGACGGAGACCTGGATCAGTGCTGGGGCGGAGGGCGGTCGGTGACTACTGACTAGCCGAGACGGCTTACAGGGCGAAGGTCTTTTTGCTTGGACACTTCGACTGCGCTGCTGCGTTGTAGCGGGAAAGGAATTAGGTTTAGCTCGTAAAAATAAAGAGAGAATTATTTCTCCAAATCAATGAAATTATTGACTGAATTTTCAAAAGAGCAATGCTAGGGGTACACTCCCCATTTGTCCCTCACTCCTTTCTTTATCAGTCATTTTTATTTATTTTTATTTATTTAATTTTTTTAGTCTCTTGCCCATTTTTGTGCTAATGGAGGAGTTGAAGGACAAATGGGCTACACCTTCGATGTATCCCTAGCATTTTTCTTTTCAAAATCATCCTTTCTATAAAGTGTTTTCCTAAATTAGTCATCAACAAGTAATAATTATATATCTTAAATGATCTTCGGACAAAAATGTCTATTAAATGCTAGCCAAATAAATGGTATTTTGAAATTTTCAATCATTTAGACTTAAAGTATAATCTTAAAGTTCTCCTTTATAATTAAGTATTTTTCTAAACTGATAAATATATAAGTAAATACTTTTTTGAAATTGAGTCCATGAGCTTACTCGAGGTGGTCCGTTCTTCAAACAGCTAACCACTTATTTTAAAAAGACAATTTTGAAGACTATTCATAGTTTAGATGATAGAAAATACCAAAACCTCCCTACACTCTCAACCCCTTGCCCCCTCTCTCCCTTTCATAGAAAAATTTATCAAATACGGAGTAACTATTAAGTATGATGTATCTTGCTATTTTCTACGAGTATCATTTAAATTTTTAGAATTTTTTCAAAAAAATCTTTACCATGGTCGCCGTTTACGGTAAAAAAAAGGCTAGGATTTAAACCTAAGCTCTGATACCATGATACAATTTGATAATAATTTGTCTTATTAAATATTGAGAGATATGTCCCTATATATAGGGAATACAAGAGAGAGTCATATTCTTAGTAGAAAAAGAATAAAGTAATTATGGTAATACAAGAATAAAGAAACTAAATAATATTAAGAGTCTTCCTATTAGTGCCGTACGAGGCCGTGGTGGAGGACTTGAGAAAAGAAGTGAAATCCAAAGAAGCTGAAATTGAAATCCTGAAAGAGAAGGTCGAAACGACGTCGTCGCCGTGCTGTAGCGCGAAGAAAGGAATGTCGAAGCTAAAAGCAAAAAATTGCAGCAGTCAATCGCAAGGTACGAAACTTTTCAAGTTCAATTTTCGGTGTAAAATTCAAAATTAGGGCTAAATAATATACTTTCCGGTATCTGCAGCGGCGATGCCGCCGGCGCCGGAGCTATTCGAGAACACAATGAGTTTGGTGAAAGGGGCTTCGAAATCGTTCACGGCGCTGCTCCTCTCGCTGATGAGATCCGCACACTGGGACATAGCCGCCGCCGTGAGATCCATCGAAGCCGCCTCATCCGCGTTCGCCGCAACGGCGGGCGCGATAATCGGAACGAATTGCGCGAAGTACGCCTTGGAGTCGTATGTGAACCGGAAAATGTTCCAAGGGTTCAACCACGAGACGTTCTACACGGACGGCGGCCTCTCCTTCGTAGCCGACCCGGAACAGCACCGCCAAGGCTGTTACACACACTACCGGGACATGAAGGCGATGGATCCGGCGGAGCTGCTGGGGATACTCCCAAATTGCAGCTTCGAAAACTTCTGCTTCAAGAAATGTTTGTTGAAGCACTCCACACATCTTTTTTATGTAAAATTAAACTAAAAGGAGCAATAACCTTCTATTTGGTTTTTTGTTTTTGTGTAAAAATCAAACAAAAAAACCAAAGCTAACACTACATATTTTTATTGTTTCATCGAGTTAGTGTTTTATAATTTTTTAATGCTTATAAATTTCTACTTTTATAAACCGAAAAAACCGGAAAAAAAACCGTAAAAAACCGAACCGAATAACAAACGGTTTTCATATTTTTTATGCNTTTTACATACGATGTCTTTGGAAGTATTTAGAATCTTTTAAATGTTTGTTGGCACTCCACACATCTTTTTTATGTAAAATTAAACTAAAAGGAGCAATAACCTTCTATTTGGTTTTTTGTTTTTGTGTAAAAATCAAACAAAAAAACCAAAGCTAACACTACATATTTTTATTGTTTCATCGAGTTAGTGTTTTATAATTTTTTAATGCTTATAAATTTCTACTTTTATAAACCGAAAAAACCGGAAAAAAAACCGTAAAAAACCGAACCGAATAACAAACGGTTTTCATATTTTTTATGCAAAACCGAACCGAACCGAACCGCCAATTTACCTTCCGTTTTGTCTTTGGTTTTGGGTAAAAACTAAACCGCCAAAACCGAACCCACCCCTATTTATATGGTTCCCAAGTGTGGCTAATGCGGTGCCTTTTGACTTTCTTTTTTGAGTCAACCCTTTTACAAGTGTATTTATTTAAACCCGAGTAATTGAAAAATTACCGATAATAATCTAAAATTTTGTCATGTAAGATGAGATTAATAAATTATTTGAGAAAAAGTATGATGTGGTAAATATGGTAAGGAAATTTAGGGACGAAAACAGGTTTTTTTTAATAAAAACGGGAAATGTTGTGGTGAAAGAGAAAATATATTAGCAAAAGGAGGGAGTAGAATTTTGTTGGATTGTACTCCCTCCGTCCGAAAATATTCTTCCCATTTTCCTTTTTGGTCCGTCCGGAAATAATCTTCTCATTTTCTTTTCTAGTATGTTTTTAAGGCTAAATATCAATAATACCCTTCTATTTTATCACAAATCTACTTTTTTAATACTTTTTTAATAATAAAAGAAGATTTAAAAGTTTATAGTATGTGCATTTTTGAAAATTTTGCATTTTTTTACTATTCCTTAATAAGCATGCCAAGTCAACACGGGAAGAACATTTCCAGACGGAGGGAGTATAATCCAAGCTTAAACAAACAGTGAACTTAAAAAAAAGTTTTACTCCCTTTGTCTCTTAGTTTTTGTCCACTTTTGACTTTTGAAACTGTTCATCTAGGCACTTTGTGTAATGTCCCAAACATACTCTAGAATTATTAATGAATAAATAATCAATTAATCACAATTGTTTTGATTAAAATAAATTATTGTTGGGCTTTGGGCCGATATGAAATTTGTTTTGACATCTAATATCAAAATCTGGATAAGGTTAATAGAGATAAATCCAATATGTGGACTATTTGTGTGGTCTTGATTGAGAACCTGAGTACAGACCCAAATCAAGAGTAAATAAAGAATTTGTTTAGAATGTGAATGTTGAAATGATTTGTTGAAATAAATCATTAGAACAAATGTTATGAATTAAATGTGAGAAACCTTTTTGAACAAAGATCAACTAAATCAATTTTTACTCTCTCAAAGTCAAACACCCAAAAATATGATGTCAGAAAAAGTATAACCAACAAATATAAAAATTATATCGTTGGATAGAGTTTAACTGTCCAATCGCACCGGTGCAAACGGAATTCAATTCGGAGAAAGTTGGACCAAAAAGTGTACCCCGACTGGAACCAAATTTGTCCCAATCAGGGAGTGGCGTGTAAAATCCCACAAATCCGCCGTCCTGCGCACTAAATCGATCACCAACGAAGAAATGGAATCCTGAGTCACACCCATGTCTTCTTTTTCACTTCTTCTCCTATAAAAGGAACCCAATCTCATCCATTTCTTCATCAAATTCCTTCAAATAAACTCTGAGAAGAAGCTGTGAGTGTTGAGAATAAAGTGGTGCTGTCAATTTGGGGTGAAGTCGCCAGAGCTAGCCACAAACCTCGCCGGAAGTTTCGCCGGAAAATTCTCAAAACCTTCAATAAGCTTCGAGGTAAGCCCGTAGATATATCTAGTGACTAGAATGTTCGTATAGATCGTTTCTAAGTTTATAAACGGTCGTTTGGTTTAGTTTTGTGTTTGACATGTTTGAAGAACCAAGAATCATAAACCATGAAATCGATGTTAAAACTATGAATTAATTATACCAAAATGATCTATGAACCTTGGAGAACATCTCTATATAGTTTCGTTGAAGTTCGATAACTAAAAACGGTATTTCCAAAATTGGACCCGAACGAAGAAGAAGATGAACAGTGGCTGAAACACCACTGTCTTGATCGATCCAGGGGCTTGGATCGATCCCCTGGGAGTGATTTTTTCATAGTTTGGATCGATCCAGAGGGCTGGATCGATCCCCCGAAGTTCTGATCCGAAAATTTGTCTGAATTTGCTATTTTTGAGCTCTAAAATCCTATTTTTGATACCAATGGATTATGACCATTATAAAAATGATTTACCATAATAAAAATGATGTTTTTAACAACAAAAAAATGTTATGTGTTGCATGACGGTAAGTTCGGGTGTTAACACTCGAAGCTAGGCCGCTATTTATTATAAATTGTTGTGTTAATTGATGATTATGATAAATGAATATTATGGATGATTATGAGTATTGAACCTACTGATTAAAATAACTAGTTATGATTGAATCATGAATAAAATGAATACATTTATAATTATGAAATGATTTGTAGTGTTAAGGGTATCTAGAAGAATTCTAAGGTATACACATTTAGAAAATTGATGTTAAGGCTATCTAGAAGACCTCTAGAATAGATCTCATATTAGTATGGATTTGTGAAACATGAATATTCGATGAATTAGATAAAAATGTATAAACGGGATTCGTAGACTAAGCTATAGGATCACTCGTTTGGAAATACTTCGACTCAATGATGATTAATTATTGTCTTATTGTTGCCTTAAACTAATTATAGTTTAAGCGTCTGAGTATTGTTTGCCTTAAACTAATTAAAGTTTAAGCGTCGGAGAACTGTTGCCTTAAACTAATTATAGTTTAAGCGTCTGAGAATTGTTTGCCTTAAACTAATTATAGTTTAAGCGTCTGAGAATGAAATTATGATCTAGCCTTAGACTAAGAATAGCTAAGAGCGTTGTTATGATCTGGCCTTAGACTAAGAATAGNCTATCTAGAAGACCTCTAGAATAGATCTCATATTAGTATGGATTTGTGAAACATGAATATTCGATGAATTAGATAAAAATGTATAAACGGGATTCGTAGACTAAGCTAGAGGATCACTCGTTTGGAAATACTTCGACTCAATGATGATTAATTATTGTCTTATTGTTGCCTTAAACTAATTATAGTTTAAGCGTCTGAGTATTGTTTGCCTTAAACTAATTAAAGTTTAAGCGTCGGAGAACTGTTGCCTTAAACTAATTATAGTTTAAGCGTCTGAGAATTGTTTGCCTTAAACTAATTATAGTTTAAGCGTCTGAGAATGAAATTATGATCTATAATTTTTTAATATACAAATTACAAGATAAAATGATTTAAAGAAGTGCATTGGATGTTGTATAAAAATAAAAGTGGACAAATACTCTGTGACTGAGGGAATACCATGCAAAAAGAAAAGAAGAACACCATGAAAAGAAGAGCATGGACCTAGGCCTTTGCCGTTGCTCAGCTTGCGATGTCTGTCGGGCCACCAATGACTTCGAGGGGCTTTGTGTTCTGTTGGCTTTGATGGAAGGAGACGATGAATGCTGTGTATCGGAAGAGCCATGGGCGTGGAGTTGGTAAAAGAATAATGCTACTTTGAGCCCAAGAACATAAACTCCATGAATTGAATTGGCAATAAGATGAAGGATTAAGCTATTTTTACACCAAAATTTGTACCTCATTTTGTATTCTAAAGTCATACACTGACATTTTGTAATAGTGTGATATTAATGTGATGAATTGCATTGACAAAAAATTTCGATGCAAATTTTTTTAATTGAACTAATATTTTGTCAGTGTGAATCGTTAAAATATCGATGCATTTCCTTGAGGTACAATTTGAGATGCAATTTTGGTGTACCCGTGGCATGGTTATACGATTAATCCGGTGTAAGAGTGTCTAGTGGTTGTTGGGCATGTACCCTATGGGGTCCCACCCCCCTCTTTTTAGGGGGGCTGTGCTCCTCGAGGATCACTTTTATTATTAGTATTATAAATATAAAAACTTCAGTACGAACAAAAAGACGAAACTATATAAGCCTTTTTTATATTGACGGTTCAATCCCCTCTTTAGGGAAGGAGAAGAGCATTTTCATTGCTTACATTCGGATGAAAAAGAATGGCCTTAAAGTGAGGTGGGTTTTATTTGAAGCTCTCCTATTTTCTTTAATAACTCTTATGTATATCAATAATATTTTCCTTGTTTTTTTATAGCAAATTTTTGTGCATCCCATCTTATTACGTAGCATTAATAAGTTGGAACTTATAAAACGAGCAATATATTACAATATCAATGCATTAAAGTCCTTTGCAAAAAGTCCAATCTTTTGCGATATCAATACATTAAGATCCATAAAATTAACATTGATCTTAGGACTGTGGAAGAATTTTGCAACATTTATATAGTTTTTGTACCAAAAAAAAAGAGAGACACACTTGCCTATTTATAAAATCCCCTCCAACCCCCAACGAACCAGTTGAGCCCCTTGGATTTCCAAACATATCCTTTAACTCTTAGGCTGTGAGGTAGAATCCTATTATGAGCTTGTATGGCAATGGGCAACAACTTCAACATTTAACTTTAACGTTCTAAAAAGTTAGCTAAGGGGGACATAATTTGCTTCACATTTCTTTGACAAAATAGTTGTGATCACAATATCTACTACAGTTTTAAGGACAAAGTTAAAGAAGTCATACACACTTAGAGGAGAAAAGCAACCAAGATATTACCCCAAAAAAAGATTGCATAAAAATACATATGCAACAGATTACCATCAATATATAAAGTGAAGAGCGAGTATTAACCAATCACTTCTTTCCCAACTTCATTGCTTTCATGCCTTTCTCACTCTTGAATTTTGCAAGAGCTTGATCAAAGGTGCTCCTAGTGTGCTCGCACATAAGCATCAGATCATGGCATGCATCTTTCAGCACTTCCACAGCCGGATCACCTGCAGTTACCATGAGTGAAGAACAATAACAACCATTTCTGTAAATTTGGACAGAAAAAAAAGAGGGTGGGCTGTTAAAACAAGGCATTTCAATATGGTGATAACTGTGAAAATAAGGCTCCTCAAGATGGTGAAAAGTGTGAAAAACAAGGCTCTTCGAGATGGTGAAAACTGCTAAAACAAGGCTCTTCAGGTGGTGAAAAGTGTGAAAACAAGGCTCTTCAAGATGGTGAAAAGTGTGAAACAAGGCTCTTCAAGATGGTGAAAACTGCTAAAACAAGGCTCTTCAGGGCGGTGAAAAGTGTGAAAACAAGGCTGTTCAGGGTGGTGAAAAGTGTGAAAACAAGGCTCTTCAAGATGGGGAAGGCAAATGAAACATTTCGAATACCTCTTCCTAACAAGAACTAAAACAAATTACAAAGCCTATGTTTCTATCTACTAGGGTGCAAGATGAAGAACATATGTTAGAGAAAGAGAGCTGTTTCCTTGCAGTGAAAACAACAGTTTGAATGTTTACCTGTAGTCTGGACTCTTATATTAACCCGAGCCTCTGAAGGATGTGGAATGTTGTACCCACAAAGTATGACTCTGGGACTGCAAATATATCATCACAAAGTCATGTCACTTGTTTTATAGATCTTTTGATGTAGTTTTAAAATATATGAATCTTATTTTGTAATCATATATCAATTTTCAAATAAATTAAAGTTTTTTTAAAAAACTACTGTTTCGCTGGTACTACGAAATAGGGCTTTAATTTTGGGACGGAGGGAGTATTAGAAACACATACTCCTGATTAAGAGAGAATCTAAGCGCATTGGCAAGTGTATGATCTTCATCTGCCAGTGAGAATGTTCCATTGCATTGATCTTGAACTGAGCTATGCTCCATTTATTCTACAAGAAACTGCAGATTAATTACTTCACAAGATAATGCAATTTTTAGGCCTATTCTCTGCTAAATCAAGTGGCTACAATAATATCCCTTATGACTGCAAAATGTTAATTGATAATGTACCATGCATGCAAAAACTTGTATCCGTCGCGATCAGAGCTAAAATAGTCATAATTAAGAATGTTTTAGCTTCAAGTAAATAATGGCCTAAATCAAAATGACATATTAAACTTCCTTTTCTTCTTAATTAAGAAAGTTTTCTGTGATAACTTCTTACGTTCACTAAAATCCTTCCTATTTTTTTTTTTTTGCTTTCACCAAAACCATTCCCTTTTTATTAAGATGACTAATATATCCAAATAAAGTCATTGCAATATACTACATCCATTTTACATTTATATAATAAGTTATTTAAATAATTTGTCTCTTTTTTTGGACGATAATGATTTAATTAGAAAGTCAAATTACAAAAATAAATCCTGCAAAAGTCAAAACAGGAATGAGGGAGTAGCTTTTTTATATCTTCAATACGGCACAGTTCAAAAATAAAACACCGTTATAAGAAAATAAATTAATTTATGAAGATCATAAATTGCTATTTTAAAGAATACTCCGTATAATATATGTGTAAGTTCTTATTTGAAAATCAAAATATATGAGATGAAATGGATTTGCTGGTGTTCTGAATTGCTTAATCAAATTTGCAAGGTGATGCTTGTGAGAATTTGTTTTCTAAAGCAATGTAACGCTCAATTTTTCAAAACAACCACAAGTTTTACGGAACAAATCCTCAGTTACATAGGTAACTAGGTAAGTATGGACCATTGAAAGAATTTTTCAGTGTCAATATAGATTTGATCAATGGATTAATCATATAACTAATTAATATGATACATTACCAGTCTCAATATAGCTTTCAACAATGGATCAATTTTGATGGATTGTCTTTTTAACATACTTTTGCATACTAAATATTTATTCAAGTAATTCAATAAAAAAGCAAAAAGACATGAATTTAATAAAAAACTAAATCTTAATCGAGTGGTAAGAGGAGCACCCCAAAATTCTAGTCGGGGTGGATGGGAAGCTCACCCAAGTTCGAACCCGTTGACTCTATGCGCATCAACTCATTGAAAAAGTATGTATGAACAGATACTACATTGTTTTAGACTCAGTAGTACTTAAGAAAACTACCCTTGGTACATCTTAATATAACATACTCCGAATGAAAATCAACCTAATATCATTTGATAAATTCATACTTCATTGATTCACAAACCATAAATAACAAATTCTCGTATCATCTGGCATAAATTAATAATCTTGATAAATAATTGTAAAAATAATTAGGTTTTGAAAAAAACGAACCTAGCACTTGGCAGCCGCGATTGGAGTCTTGGTGACGGAGACCTAGATCAGTGCTGGGGCGGAGGACAGTCGGTGACTACTGACTAGCCGAGACGGCTTACGGGGCGAAGTCTTTTTGCTTGGACACTTCGACTGCGCTGCTGCGTTGTAGCGGGAAAGGAATTAGGTTTAGCTCGTAAAAATAAAGAGAGAATTATTTCTCCAAATCAATGAAATTATTGACTGAATTTTCAAAAGAGCAATGCTAGGGGTACACTCCCCATTTGTCCCTCACTCCTTTCTTTATCAGTCATTAGGGGTGAGCATCGGGTCGGTTCGGTCGGTTTCGGGTCAAAACCGAACTAACCCAATTTTTTTTTGGTATAAAAAAAACTAACCAAAACCGAACCAGTGTGTTTGAATAAACCAAAACCGACTAACCCGAACCAATTTCGGTCGGTTATTAAAAACCGAATTGCACAGCACCTCGAAGTAAACAATAATTAGTTTAACAGAGAAGATATACAAAGAAGACAATAACCCAAAGAAGAAAACATCTCATTTGTTCCAATTAACTAATGAAAAAGATAATCAATTTAAATATGGAGCACAGATTGAGATATATACGGATCTACCTTACTCTATTATTCAACAAAGAAGAAGGGAAGAACGAAGAATTAAAGAGGGATTGCAGCGTCGGTGTCGGAGTGTCGCCGTCTTGAACTCTTAGCGAAGAAGGAAGAAGGCTGAATCGCATAGGCTTGACTCGATCCGAATCAAAACGCAGAAGGCAGAAGCTTCTGGACGACGGGAATCGCGAGTAGGAGGAGAAGCGGAGTAGCGGCCAAAACCTAAAATTGGGATCCCAATCGCCAGGTTGACGCGTTGAGGAATACACAACCGGCAACTCCAAATTGGTTTTAGTCTTTTAAATAATTGAGTGGGCTGACTTGCTATTGGGCTGACTTTCTATTGGACTTTTAAAAATTCATACTTCCTCCCTCCCACTCTTTTTGTCCACTTACCTTTTGGCACATCATCCAATGCACTTCTTTAATTCATTTTATCTTGTAATTTGTATATTAAAAAATTATAGAAAGTATATATTAATAATCTATATGTTAAAACAAATTAAACAAGAGCACACATGACTATATTTAGGCTTACACATTGAGAGAATTTGATGAGTCAAAATGCTTAGATGAACAGTTCCAAAAGTCAAAAGTGGACAAAAAGAGTGGGACGGAGGTAGTATTAAATAATTAGTGTGTATATATATACCGATATATATCGGTTATTCGGTTAACCTTATATACCGATACTCAAAACCGACACCGAACCGAAGTACCCGAACAAACCGAATTTTTAATAATGGAAAACCGAAACCGATTTAACGGTTAATTCGGTTTTCGGTTTTTGGTTTAACGGTCGGTCCGGTTAATTTGCTCACCCCTATCAGTCATTTTTATTTATTTTTATTTATTTAATTTTTTTAGTCTCTTGCCCATTTTTGTGGTAATGGAGGAGTTGAAGGACAAATGGGCTACACCTTCGATGTATCCCTAGCATTTTTCTTTCCAAAATCATCCTTTCTAATAAAATGTTTTCCTAAATTAGTCATCAATAAGTAATAATTATATATCTTAAATGATCTTCGAACAAAAATGTCTATTAAATGCTAGCCAAATAAATGGTATTTTGAAATTTTCAATCATTTAGACTTAAAGTATAATCTTAAAGTTCTCCTTTATAATTAAGTATTTTTCTAAACTGATAAATATATGAGTAAATACTTTTTTGAAATTGAGTCCATGAGCCTACTCGAGGTGGTCCGTTCTTCAAACAACTAGCCACTTATTTTAAAAAGACCATTTTGAAGACTATTCATAGTTTAGATGATAGAAAATACCAAAACCTCCCTACACTCCCAACCCCTTGCCCCCTCTCTCCCTTTCATAGAAAAATTTATCAAATACGGAGTAACTATTAAGTATGATGTATCTTGCTATTTTCTACGAGTATCATTTAAATTTTTAGAATTTTTTCAAAAAAATCTTATTAAATTAAGTATTTTTTTTCAAATCACCTCTCTAAGGTCATAATTATAATATAACCTCAATTATATATATAGGATTGACTCTAGTGAGATGACACCTTGTGGTGAGATGACATGCTTCGGTCAGATGACGCAAAGCTCACCACACCACACTACAAAGCTCACCAATGCACAATGCAAAGCTCACCTGGATATAAAGTAAAGCTCACCACTTTGAACACCAAAACTCACATTTTTTTTAAAGTTTAAAAATTAAAAATAAAATAAAACACCGATCAACCAGATTGTTGGTGACACAGATTGTGGACTCATTATCACAATAAATCTTAGGTTTCGTAGGCGGAACATGCAGAGCATCCATAATATAACGAAGCCACATCGCCTCTGCCACCCCCGCAGCAGTAGCGCGATACTCAGCTTCGGTGGAGGAGCGCGATACGCGAGTATGTTTTTTTGTGCACCATGAGATAAGATTCGGCCCCAGCATAAGGAGATACCCAGTGGTGGAACGACGATCATCTTTGTCGTTAGCCCAGTCAGAGTCAGAATAAACAACAAGATCAAGAGAACCTTTTCTGAACAAAAGGCGATGAGAAGAAGTACCCTTCAAGTAGCGAAGAATACGTTTAAGGGCCAAGTAATCCTTCTCTGTAGGGTTATGCATGATTTGAGAAACTCGATTTACAGCATACTGAAAATCCGGGCGAGTCACCGCAAGATAGTGTAGACCACCCACAAGGTTACGGAACAATGTTGGGTCGGAGAAGGTGGACGAGATCTCCTGGGTTGGCCGCGCCACCATCGGAGTGACAGTGGGTTTGCAATCAGCCATGCTAGCCCGCTGAAGAAGATCAAATATGTATTTTGTCTGATGAAGCAAGATAGAATCTGCATAGCGACGAACCTCAATGCCAAGAAAGAAATCCAGAGGACCCAAGTCTTTGAGGTGAAAATTTTTATGCATAGCCTGAGTAACAGCAGAGATGAGATCAGAGGAGCTCCTTGTAATAATGATGTCATCAACATATAGGAGAACAATGACCATGCCGCGAGAGCTGTGAAAAGTGAACACACTAGTGTCATGACGACAGCACTGGAAGCCAAGTCCCTGCAAAAAAGTAGCAAAACAGGTGTACCAAGCACGAGGAGCCTGTTTAAGGCCATACAGAGATTTGCGTAGCTTGCAAACAAACTCAGGCCTATTGGGATTGGCGTAGCCCGGTGGTTGAGACATATAAATATCCTCATCGAGTGAACCATGGAGAAAGGCATTGGTAACATCAAGCTGATGAAGAGGCCAATCATAATGTAGAGCAAGAGTGAGTACCAGACGAATGGTTTGCTGCTTGACAACCGGGTTGAACGTCTCTTTATAATCGATGTCATACTCTTGATGGTACCCTTTGGCCACTAGACAAGCCTTGTACCGAGAGACGGAGCCATCCGGATTCCGTTTTATGCGATACACCCACTTGCAACCAATAGGATCTCAGCCCTTGGGTAGGGGCACCAAATCCCATGTTCGTTGTTCATTCAGAGCTGCATATTCTTCATCCATGGCATGGCACCAATAGCTATTCTTGGAGGCTTGGTGATAGGTGTGAGGTTCAGAGGTAGGAGGAGAGGTATCAGTGGTGGTAGCAGTATAGATTTTAGGCTTGAAGATGCCTGATTTGGCATGGGTTTGCATGGGATGGGCATTTGTTGTGGTGATCAGTGCTGTCGACGGTCGACTGTGTGGGGGTGGACGGGTAATGGTATCGACCGTCTGTAGAGATTCAGAGAGGGGTTGGGAGGACGGTCGACCGTGGGGTGGGGAACGGTCTATGTGGTGAACCGTCTGTAGAGGTTCAGAACGGGTGTAAGGGCTTCAACCCAAAAGGTGACAGGGAGATGGGAATCGTAGAGTAAAGCAATGACAGTCTCAATGAGATGCCGATGTTTGCGTTCAGCCACACCATTATGTTCAGGGGTGTAAGGGCAGGACGTGTGATGCAGAATCCCAAGATTTTGAAGAAAAAATGCCAAAGGCTGTATTTACAAATTCTTTCCCATTATCACTTCGAAAAATCTGAATATTTGAATTAAATTGAGTTTTAACCATTTTTTCAAAGCTAGTGAAAATAGAGTAAGCTTCAGATTTGTGTTTAAGAGGATAAATCCAATAAATTTACTAAAATCATCAACAAAGCAGATATAGAAACGAAAACCAGAGATAGATGGAACAGAGGTTGGTCCCCAAACATCAGAATGAATTAGTTGAAAAGGTGTTGTGGCCTTATGTTCAGAGAGTTCAAAGGATAAACGACAAGACTTAGACACATGACAGGACTCACAATGTAATTGATCAGAAAATTTAAAACCTAAAGTAGACAAAATAGACTTGGCAACAGCAGGAGCCGGATGTCCAAGCCGGCGATGCCAGGTGGATGCAGTGATAGCTTGACGCACAACAGGGATAGGCTTGGAGGGAAGGGTATAGAGACCATGCTCACAGGGGCCCGTGTACCGCACCAGATTCGTATCGTTGTCCACTATCTGAAAGGAGTTGGCATTAAAGACAATAGTGCAATTATTATCTTTGGTAAAGCGGTGAACGGACAGTAAGTTTGAAGTAAGGGAGGGAACATGATTAAGAGAGTGGAGGTGAAATTTACCATTTGGGGTGTGAATTGAGCCTGAACCTTTGTGAGTGATGGGTAAAGTATGACCATTACCTACAATAATAGTTTCAGTGCCATGGTAGGGAGTCGGAGTTTGCAGCTGTGAAAGATCATGCGTAACATGAGTATTAGCACCTGTATCAAGGTACCAATTACCAGTTTGGTTGCTTGTGGTTGCATGCATAGCACGAGAATTGGTAGTCGAGTTACTCTCAGTAGAAGAATCATCATAGCGGTACCAGCAGGTAGCAGGAGAGTGGCCACGCTTTGAACAGATCTGACATATTGGAAGATCGCGTGACGGTCCGCGGCCTCCCCCTCTTCCGTAGTTTTGACCGCCGCGACCGGATCCAGATCCTCGCCCAGAAAATGGTCGACCGTTCGGTCCTCCTCGACCGCGGCCTCGACCGCTATTTGTATACAGTGCAGAGTGAGAAACTCTAGAGGCGGAATCTGCAATACTCAATTTTTGCTCGATTTCAAGATTTATTTCTTCAGAGGTCAGCCACCCAGAGAGTTGATTGAGACTTATATTCTCATTGTTCATCTTTATATTTTGCTTGAAGGAGGAATATTCATGAGGGAGACCTCGGATAACAGCATTCACCACATCTCTATCAAGAATAACCTCGTTGAGAGCATCCAAATCGGTGAGGATAGTGGCAACTTCATCAAGGTACTGGGTGATAGTTTTTTTACCTTTTCGGAGTGTGTGAAGTTTGTCCCGTAGTTGATAGTTGTGAGCGGTAGAAACGGAATTATACCGGGCAGCGAGAGTGTTCCATAAATCGGCAGATGTGGTGAAGTTGCGGACATGCTTGTGAACAGACGGACTGATGACGGCAATAAGGCATGCACGGATCTGAGTATCGATCACAGTCCGTGTTTGGAATTCTGGGTTAGGGTTTTCCTTGCCATCCTTGGATAGGATTTTTGGAGGCGCGGCTTCATGACCATCGATGCAACCAAGAAGAAGGTTGGCCTCGAGAGCAGTTTTGACATTGAGAGACCATGCAGGATAATTTGAATCGGTGAGCTTCTCTGAGATAAGATTATGGAGATTGCGGAGAAGAAGCTTGACGCTAGAAGGAAGCGAAGCAAGCAGATCTGAAGGTTGAGCCATGGTCGCCGTTTACGGTCGACCGGCAAGAGGGAGGAGAGCGGCGGTGAAGCACAGTCTCAAAAAAAGGCTAGAGTTTAAACCTATGCTTTGATATCATGATACAATTTGATAATAATTTGTCTTATTGAATATTGAGAGATATGTCCCTATATATAGGGATTACAAGAGAGAGTCATATTCCTAGTAGGAAAGGAATAAAGTAATTATGGTAATACAAGAATAAGAAAAGAATAAGGAATCATAGCCGCCGTCGTGAGATCAATCGAAGCCGCCTCATCCGCGGCTGCCGCAACGGCGGGCACGATAATCGGAACGAATCACGCGAAGTACGTGTTGGAGTCGTATGTGAACCGAAAAATGTTCCAAGGTTTCGACCACGAGACGTTCTACACGGACGGCGGCCTCTCTTCCGTAGCCGACCCGGAACAGCACCGCCGCGGCTGTTACACAGTACCGGGACATGAAGGCGATGGATCCGGCGGAGCTGCTGGGGATACTCCCAAATTGCAGCTTCGGAAACTTCTGCTTCAAGAAATACCTGGCAATCATCCACCCAAAACGGATGAGTCTCTGTTCGGGGATTTGGAGCAGAGGCGGCAGGTTCTGGCCGGGAACCACCCGAGGAGCCAGTTCTACGGAGAGTTCCTGGAGCTGGCCAAGGCGGTGTGGATGCTTCATCTGCTGGCGTTCTCTGTGGAGCTGCCGCGGCCGTGCCAGTTCGAGGCGAGTGAGGGATCGGAATTTCGCTCGGAGTACATGGAAAGCGTGGGGAAGTATTAGGCCGGAGGCGGATTTTGTATGGGGCTAGTGGTTGGGTTTCCGGTAAGTCCGGGGTTTAAGCTCGTGAATAACAGTGTTGTTAAGGCTAGAGTTTATATGGTTCCCAAGTGTGGCTAATGGGGTGCCTTTTGACTTTTTTTGAGTCAACTCTTTTACAAATGTATTTATTTAACCCCGAGTAATTGAAAAATTTCCGATCATAATCCAAAATTTTGTTATGGATAAAAAGTAATATGAGATTAATAGATTATTTGAGAAAAAGTATGATGTAATAGATATGGTAAGGAAAAATAGGGATAAAAACAGTTTTTTTAATGAAAACTGGAAAAGTTGTGGTGAAAGAGAAAATAATTTAGCAATCGGAGGGAATAGATTTTTGTTGGATTGTATAATTCAAGCTTAAACTAACACTGATCATAAAAAAAAGTTTTACCATGCAAGAAGAAAAAAGAACACTATGAACATAAACTCCATGATAGCTAGATAAAATTAGGGCTTTATGTTCTGTTGGCTTTGATGGAAGGAGACGATGAATGCTGTGTATCGGAAGAGCCATGGGCATGGAGTTGGTAAAAGAATAATGCTACTTTGAGCCCAAGAACATAAACTCCATGAATTGAATTGGCAATAAGATGAAGGATCAAGCTATTTCTACACCAAAATTTGTACCTCATTTTGTATACAAAAATCATACACTAACATTTTGTAATAGTGTGATATTAATGTGATGAATTACATTGACAAAAAAATGTCGGTGCAAATTTTTTTAATTGAACTAATATTTTCTATCAATGTGAATCATTAAAATATCAATGCATTTCCTTGAGGTACAATTTGAGATACAATTTTGGTGTACCCGTGGCAAGATTATAAGATTAATCCGGTGTAAGAGCCTCTAGTGGTTGTTGGGCATGTACCCTCTGGGGTGCCCCCCCCCTCTTTTTTCGCTCGATCACTTTTATTATTATTATTATTATAAATATCAAAACTTCAGTATGAACGGAGAGACACACTTGCCTATTTATAAAATCCCCTCCAGCCCCCAGCGAACGAGTTGAGCCCCCTTGGATTTCCAAACATATCCTTTAACTCTTAGGCTGTGAGGTAGAATCCTATTATGAGCTTGTATGGCAACGGGCAACAACTTCAACATTTAACTTTAACATTCTAAAAGGTTATCTAAGGGGACATAATTTGCTTCACATTTCTTTGAAAACAAAATAGTTGTGATCACAATATCTACTACAGTTTTAAGGACAAAGTTAAAGAAGTCATACATACTTAGAAGAGAAAAGCAACCAAGATATTACCCCCAAAAAAGACTGCATAAAAATACATATGCAACAAATTACCATCAATATATAGATAGTGAAGAGCGAGTATCAACCAATCACTTCTTTCCCAACTTCATTGCTTTCATGCCTTTCTCACTCTTGAATTTTGCAAGAGCTTGATCAAAGGTGCTCCTAGTGTGCTCACACATAAGCATCAGATCATGGCATGCGTCTTTTAGCACTTCCACAGCCGGATCACCTGCAGTTACCATGAGTGAAGAACAATAATAACCATTTCTGTAAATTTGGACAGAAAAAAAAGAGGGTGGGCTGTTAAAACAAGACATTTCAATATGGTGATAACTATGAAAACAAGGCTCTTCAAGATGGTGAAAAGTGTGAAAAACAAGGCTCTTCGAGATGGTGAAAACTGCTAAAACAAGGCTCTTCAGGTGGTGAAAAGTGTGAAAACAAGGCTCTTCAAGATGGTGAAAAGTGTGAAACAAGGCTCTTCAAGATGGTGAAAACTGCTAAAACAAGGCTCTTCAGGGCGGTGAAAAGTGTGGAAACAAGGCTCTTCAAGCTGGTGAAAACTGCTAAAACAAGGCTCTTCAAGATGGGGAAGGCAAATGAAACATTTCGAAGACCTCTTCTAACAAGAACTAAAACAAATTATAGAGCCAATGTTTCTATCTACTAGGATGCAAAATGAAGAACATATGTTAGAGAAAGAGAGATGTTTCCTTGCAATGAAAATAACAGTTTGAATGTTTACCTGTAGTCTGGACTCTTATATTAACCCGAGCCTCTGAAGGATGCGGAATGCTGTACCCACAAAGTATAACTCTCGGACTGCAAATATAGCATCACAAAGTCATGTCACTTGTTTTATAGATCTTTTGATGTAGTTTTAAAATATATGAATCTTATTTTGTAATCATATAACGATTTTCAAATAAATTAATTGTTTTAAAAAAATTACTGTTTGGCTTGTACTACAAAATAGGGCTTTAATTTTGGGATGGAGGGAGTATTAGAAACACATACTCCTGATTAAGAGAGAATCTAAGCGCATTGGCAAGTGTATGATCTTCATCTGCCAGTGAGAATGTTCCATTGCATTGATCTTGGACTGAACTATGCTCCATTTATTCTACAAGAAACTGCAGATTAATTACTTCACAAGATAATACAATTTTTAGGCCTATTCTCTGCTAGATCTAGTGGCTACAATAACATCCCTTATGACTGCAAAATGTTAATTGATAATGTACCATGCATGCAAAAACTTGTATCCATCGCGAACGGAGCTAAAATAGTCATAATTAAGAATGTTTTAGCTTCAAGTAAATAATGGCCTAAATCAAAATGACACATTAAACTTCCTTTTCTTCTTAATTAAGAAAGTTGTCTGTGATAACTTCTTCCATTCACTAAAATCCGTCCTCTTTCATTTTTTTTTGCTTTCACCAAAACCCTTCCTTTTTAATAAAATGACTTCTATATCCAAATAAAGTCATTGGAATATACTCCATCCATTTTGCATGGATATAATAAGTTATTTAAGTGATTTGTCTCTCTTTTCTTTTGGACGATAATGATTTGATTGGAAAGTCAGATTACAAAAATAAATCCTGCAAAAGTCAAAACAGGAATGAGGGAGTAGCTTTGTTTATATATTCAATACGGCACAGTTATCAAATAAAACACCGTCATAAGAAAATAAATTAATTTATGGAGATCATGAATTGCTATTTTAAAGAATACTCCGTATAATATATGTGTAAGTTCTTATTTGAAAATCAAAATATATTGAAATGGATTTGCCGGTGTTCTGAACTGCTTAATCAAATTCGCAGGGTGATGCTTGTGAGAATTTGTTTTCTAAAGCAATGTAACGCTCAATTTTTCAAAGCAACCACAAGTTTTACACAACAACCCCTCAATTACATAGGTTACTAGGTAAGTATGGACCATTGAGAAAACTTATCAGTGTCAATATAGCTTTGAACAATGGATTAATAATATAACTAATTCATATGATACATTACCAGTCTCAATTTAGCTTTCAACAATTGATCAATTTTGATGGATTTTCATTTTAACATACTTTTTCATACTAAATATTTATTCAAATAACTCTAAAATAGCAAAAAGTTACATTAATTTAATAAAAAACTAAATCTTAATCGAGTGGTAAGAGGACCACCCCAAAATTCTACTCCCGGTGGATGGGAAGCTCACCCAGGTTCGAATCTATTGACTATATGTGCTTCAACTGATTGAAAAAATATGTATGAACAGATACTATTAGACTCAGTACTTAAAAAAACTACCCCTGGTGCATCTTAATATAAACATACTCTGAATGAAAATCAACCTAATATCATTTGATAAATTCATGCTTCACTAATTCACAAACCACAAATAACAAAATCACAAATCATCTGGCATAAATTAATTAATCTTGATAAATAATTGTAATAAATAATTAGGTTTTGGAAAAAAACCGAACCTAGCACTTGGATGTCTCGATTGGAGTCTTGGTGACGGAGACCTGGAGCACCGCTGAGGCGGACGGCGGTCTGGCGGTCGGTGACTACTGACTAGCCGAGAAGGCTTACGGGGCGAAGGTGTTTTTGATTGGACTCTTCGGCTGCTGCGTTGTACGGGAAAGGAAATAGGTTTAGCTTGTAAAAATGAGAATTATTTTTCCAAATCAATGTAAAATTTTTGATTTAGTTTTTAAATATATAATTTTATTTTTTAGTTTCAAAATTATAATCAAATAAACTGAATTCAAAACAATTTCAGTAAAACCTCTTAAATCCAATTGAGAAATTTTTTTTAGAACAAATAGAATACTTAATTATAGAAACTTTATGGGGCATTTCAAATGATATTGGATACAAATATCATAACATGACTTAGTGCTTATGATACCTTGTTTGAAAATTGATACTTCGTAATTCTTACGCCCAAAACCTCCCTGCACTTCCAGCCCTTTGCCCCCCCTCCCCCCCTCTCCATCTCGTAAAAAAATTTAGCAAATAACTCTTAAGTACTCCCTACGTCCCAGAATATTCATCCAGTTTTGACTTTTGGAACTGTTCATTTAATCTCTTTGACTCATCAAATTCTCTTAATGTGTAAGCCTAAATATAGTCATGTCTGATCTTGTTTGATTTATCTTAACATATAGATTATTAATATATAATTTCTATAATTTTTTAATATACAAATTACAAGATAAAATGAATTAAAAAAATGCATTGAATGGTGTGTAAAAATGAAAGTGGACAAATACTTTGGGACGGAGGTAGTATAATGTATCTTGCTATTTTTATGATTTAAATTTTTAGAAATTTTTCAAAAAATTATTTTTCCAAATCACCCCTCTGAGGTCATAATTATAATACTATCTACAGAGTATTTATTATTCACATAATCAAACGCTATTCACTTTTTTTACCAAGTTTCATTAGTTATTTGATAAAATAGTCATATCACTACTGGTTCTGTAAAACCTTTTGTGTAGTTTTTAAGTATGTAATTTTAATTATTTAATTCCACCTCAAATCACATACTCCCTCCGTCCCGGAGTATTCGTCCACTTTTGACTTTTGGAACTGTTCATCTAAGCACTTTGACTCATCAAATTCTCTCAAAGTGTAAGTCTAAATAAAGTCATGTGTGATCTTGTTTGATTTGTCTTAATATATAGATTATTAATATATAATTTCTATAATTTTTTAATATTTAAAGTACAAGATAAAATAGATTAAAGAAGTATATTGGATGGTTTGTAAAAATGAGAGTGGACAAATACTCTAGGACGAGATAGTATAAATTAATTTGAAAATAATTTCAATCAAATATCATAAACAAAACAAGCACTTTCAAATAGGACGAAGGAAGTAAGTAGAAAACAATTACTCTTAGAGCATGTTTAGTAAGTTTTGAAGATATAATAAGATATGAGCTATAAATCTAGAAAAATTAATATGGATTTTGGAATCTGAAACAAAAGTATTTGGAGAAAACAAAAATAAAATTAAATCATAGTCACAATTGTTTAATAAGCAATTAAAAAATAAAATACATGTGTTGAAAAATATTTTATTAAAGGTCAAATTATATTTTCAAAATATTATTTTATCTAATTAATGTACTATGTAATTTTTATTTAATTATACTCCCTCTGTCCGGAAATATTCTTCCCATTTTCCTTTTTGGTGCGTCCGGAAATATTCTTCTCATTTCCTTTTTTAGTATACTTTTTAAGGCTAAATATTAATAATACTCTTCTATTTTATCACAAATCTACTTTTTAGTACTTTTTTAATAATAAAAGAAGATTTAAAAGTTTATAGTATGTGCATTTTTGAAAATTTTACATTTTTTTACTATTCCTTAATAAGCGTGCCAAGTCAACACGGGAAGAACATTTCCGGACGGAGGGAGTAGGTCAAAGATCAATATTGATCAACTGAAAAAATCAAAACTGGACAAATATTCCAGCACGAAGGAGGTATGTTCTAAGGCACCACAAAACACCCATCATTTTTCATATCCTTAGACTTTCACCTGTTTGCTTAATCCAAAGCTTTTGAGGCAACAACCATAGAGATGAGCTAGCAAATGCCTTCTCTGAATTAATCAGAGATGAA